CGCGCTCCACGCGGCTTCACACGCGCCCTCGAAGCCTGTTTTTCCCTTTTACGTAAGTTGTTCCAAACATGTTTGTGACAATCCCCCGGTGATGCACCTTTGGCAAAAGTGGGTTTGGGTCCAAAGATCAGCACTGGGACAAGCGACCTGCCCGCGGCAAACAAGAGCCCGCAGAGTATAAAACCCCGGCGGCGCGGTGGAGCGCGGGACAGCCTGAGCCGCGCCAAGGGGCAGCGGCTGCAGAGGAGGATGGAGGCCGGCATGAACCTCCTGCACGACATGGGCATCCAGGCGACGCGCTGGCTGCAGGAGCGATTCCAGGGCTCCCAGGACTGGTTCCTCTTCATCTCCTTCGCCGCCGACCTCAGGAACGCTTTCTTCGTCCTCTTCCCTATCTGGTTCCACTTCAGCGAGTCGGTGGGCATCAGGCTCATCTGGGTGGCCGTGATCGGTGACTGGCTCAACCTCGTCTTCAAGTGGTGAGTGGCCCCGTGCCACGGCTCCCTCCGGGCGTGTTGGCACAGCTGGACTAATGCGGGCCAGATGTGCGCTCTCAGCCTTGACGCTGGTGTAAAACAAAGACCAGAGTTTGGACCCCAGCTTGGCAGTGGTGATGGTCGCTCTTCCCGAGCCGTGCGGCAACGGCTCTCCCCAGAAGCCAGGCAGAGGGATAGAGCCTCCCGCAGCCAGCCCCCTTTGCCGTCAGCCCGCGCTGGAGTTCTGCGCAGGGGCTGCACAGAGCCCCCGACCTTGGGGAGGCTGCGGGGGTGACCTGGCACGGCTCTGATGTGCGGGATGAGGGCTTGGCGCTCCTCCAGTCTTTTAGGCGAGTGTTTCCCATGGGTAAGCCAGGACACTGATATCCCTTTCCTTTCCATGGCTGGTAACGCTGGCATCGCTGACGCAAAGGGAGCGATGGTGGGGAGCACGCGAGGGACGCAGGCACCGCTCCAGGCGTGGGACAGCCTCATCAGCTGCGTCAATGGTTCCATGGGGCTGATCCACCCTGGCACCACGGCCGGCAGGGCTCGGTGTTGGCTTGCAGCCGTG